GGCGGGGCTGCAGAGGGCGGGCGCAGGTGGCTGGAGCCCGCGCGAATTTGACCGTGCTGCGCGGACGGAGCTCGAGGGGCTTGGCGCCTGATGGCCATTCGCCTTCCAGGTGGCAGGGGATACACGGGGGTCCACCTGCACACGCCTCCCAAAGCGTGCTTCTTCACCACAGGGTTTGGGAGCCTACGGGACAGGAACTACGGTAATTCATCCAGGCAGTGTAGAAACAAAGAGAGAAATATGGTAACGCGCACCTACATTTTCACGTTCATTCTTCCTGCAAACGCAAGTTAAATAGCGGAGGCGTGTGGGAGCCTGGCGATACAGACGCAACTAAAACGTGCCCTTCCCCCCGTGCTTTCTTATTAATAAGCTCAGAAGAGGAAAGACAGGAAAGTTAAAATCGATATATCCTCACCTCTTCATCCTGAAATGTCTTAGTAATGTGATATGTTCAAAGGAGAGAATTTGACCACAGCACCTTTGTTACTTCTTATTTTTAGATCGAGATTAGCCAAACGGACATAAAACGTCAGATTTGTTGATATCTCCCATCTACTCGTGATTTGTAAAAATCATTTAACTGCGTAGGAACTGTTTGGTTCACAGTTCCTCAATAGCTGTGGAGTGAATAAATGGATTGTGAAGTGTTATACATATGCATTGGATAGATACATACGAGTGTGTGTGCACTCCTCCCCACCCCAGCTCCCAGCACCGAAGGGAAATGTGAGCTACTCATTACAAACACTGGTCCCGCGGTCTGTTAATTGAAAGGATGAAGTCAAGTTGACCAGCCCGAGGCAGCAGCAGCCCGTGACTCGGACACACAAGAGTCAAGTTCCCTTCCACGTCCCTCAGCCTTTTCACTTTCAGAGAGGCAAGCTACGGAGGGGGCTGACTGACATTGCATTTTTAGAAAGACGGACAGGATAAAAATGCCCTCCGATAAACAAAAGAGAGCCTTTAGAAAGGCTGGTTGCCCGAGAGCCAGAAACGGAACCCTGCCCTCCGCGTTTCCCCTCGCCCTCCTCCCTGTTTCCAACTGGCCCGTCCGCCGAGCCGTACGGGTGACGTCATCGCCGTGCGCCGGCCGGAAGGAAGCCCCGAGGCTGCGGGGCCGCCCCGGGTCCTGAGCTCGTGGGTGTGACGGCGCGCGAGCTCCTCTTGCCTTCTCTTTCCTCGGCGATGGACCAGCCCTGTGAGTCGCCCGCGAACAAAGGTGGAGAGACAGGAGAGTCAAATGAGGCTTCCTCTGCTCCCCTGGGTCCCGGGACCACCCACACGGCCGGAATCCCGGAGGAAAGTGACAGGGACGGGGTTGCGGACTTGAAAGAGACCGTGGCAGAGGAAGGCGAGGTAGGGACTGTGTTGTTGAGCCCGGAAGAGCACCCCCAGACTGGGTGACTGGCTGCTCACCGAGCATCTTGGTTGGTCCCTGTCAAAGCAGGAGCGCTCTAACTCACAACGACGCCATGCCAATTACGGGGTGTTGTTTACATTCCAGAGGCCCACCCGCTGGGGTGATATTTTTGAATCCCTGCTCTTGGGGATGAAGCGTCTTTAAACAGCAATTTAAGGAAATTAGGGCCCATGTTACACTGACATTTAGTGTTAGGGCCAGTGCAAGATCCCAGGGTTAGAGACTCTTGACCTAAAGTCCATTTCACCACAGTATGAGACCTCTTTAGTGGCTACATGTTGAGCTATTAACGGCAAGGTCAGCAGTTCGAAACCACCAGCCACTCCGCAGGAGACAGATGAGGCTCTGTACTCCAGTAAGTTATGGCCTCTCAAACCCACAGGGGCGGGTCTACCCTGTCCGCTAGGGTCACTGAGTCAGAATTGACTGCATGGCGGCGAGTTTGAGAGTTTGATGGGACCTCTTGTCGTTAACCGCCATGGAGTGGACCAGACTCATAGCGCCCTCAGGAAGGAAAGGCCGCCCCTCCTGTACCCACCCTGTAGTGGATCATTGGGTTCTGTAGGATTTTCAGTGACTGATTTTTAAACCAGCCTTTAAAACCATCTATGCCTGGAAGGTCTGCTGAAGCCTGTTCAGTATCATAGTTAAAAGCAAGCTTCCACCCAAGGAGTGGCAGCACATCAGACCCTTGGACAGGAGCCCAACCTGGGTCTCTGAAAGGGAAGAATTGTACCACTGCATCACCAATGGCCGCTTAAACAGAGCTTTGCCCTCATAGATGGCAGAGTCAACCAGATCCATTAAAGGCAGCCTTTAAAGGAAGTTTACTGGCTTAGTCATGTTCTTTTTTTTTTTTTTTTAGTCATGTTTTGATCCTCTTGGGATGTTGACATCTACCAGCTGACCCATGAGATTATGTCAAGGAGTTTCTAGAGCATAGGTTCTCAAACTATTTAGCCTACTGCCCCCTTGTCAGGAAAAAAATAAATCACTTTACTAAGCACTCCCCTGACATTTAAAAACTTTTGTACAAGACCCCATCATCCAGGATAAAGTGTAGTTATCTGCTTTTGCAGCCCACCCTGGATCATCCTAGTACCTCTCGGGGAGTGGTATTGACCACTTTGGGAAACATTACTCTAGAGCAGTGGTTCTCAACCATCCTAAGGCCGCGACCCTTTAATACAGTTCATGTTGTGGTGACCCCCAAACCATAAAATTATTTTCGTTGCTACTTCATCATTGTCATTTTGCTACTGTTATGAATTGGGCGACCCCTGTGAAAGGGTTATTCGACCCACAAAGGGGTCCAGACCCACAGGTTGAGAACTGCTGCTCTAGAGCATGAAAAACAACACACCCATAGTTGGTCTTACAGGGTTTTGATTTTGTCATATTACAACCACCAAAGTAAACCTGAGATGTGCAAACCCCAGGGACAAGCAGGGAGTCTGGCTTCCTCCTTAACTCTAGCCCCAATTCAAGAACAGTTAGTTCTGACAACATGGCCCTGCTCGATACTCACCTTCATGAAATGATCAGTGAAGATAAGGGTGCTACAGCAAAGTGTGGTGAAGAAAGCAGATGGTGCCCGGCTATCATTCAGAACAGTGTCTGGGATCTTAAAGGCTTGTATTCAAACAAGCAGCCATCTAAGCAAGGAGTCAACTAAGTCCACATGGAAAAAGCACATCAGCTTGTGTAATCCTAAGACAACAATAAGAAAATTCAAATAAAACAAAGGGAAAGGTATCAGGGCCTGAATTGCGAACACCCCATTTGTAGAAGGCTATGGAGGACAGTGGGGGTCCAAACTCCATCTGCAGAGTATCTAGTCAGATTAAGCTGCTGGCAGCCTAGCCATAGGCAAGGATCTCGAACAGCTTTACTATCAGATAGGGAGCACTGTAATTGTGGTTATATTGGATTGAACTTGACACTTGATCAGTTGGCCTCCCTCTTGACCCAACATGAAGTTCTAGGTGCAAGTATTTGTTGTTAACACCATGACAAAAATTTCTTCCTTGGCCTTTTAAATATTCACATTGGTCTTTTCTTTCTTACTCAATATTTGTATTTTTATCTTTGTATTATTATTTGATCCTTACCACTTTATTTTTTTATTGTTTCTGTTGGGTTTTCCAGTTTGTGAAGCTAAGAACTGATGCTGTGGAAGGTAGGGGTGGGGAGCAAACAATGTATGTGGGAAGGGGGAGGGAGCACTAGAACTGATGGTGATTACACAACTCATTTGAAAAATGATTTAACCGTGGAGAAAAAGAAAGTTCTAAAATTGAGTGTGGTAATGACTGTACAACTCTTCTTGATATGATTGAACTGTTGAATTATGAAATATGTTGATTAAGTGCCAATAAAACTGTTCCAAAAAAAAGAAAGCACCCTAGTATAAAGAGGAAAAAACCCAACAGCACTTGCATCAGTTGTTCCACCCCCAGAGTTCAGAGTGTCCTTGCTCAGCTGAGCTTTGCCAAGGGACCAGAATCTCGCATTCTCTGCATTGCATTTCTAGAGACAGATTGGGGGAGAGGGGTGTTCTTAGAGCTAGAAGAGACTTAAAAGATCATGGGGTTCACAATAAATCCAATGGAAATAACCTCACAGAGAGAGCACAAAGTTGCCTCTAAAAATATAAGTAAGGACTTGTAAAAAACAAAATTTTTTAAAGGATTTGTAGGCGGGGGGGGGAAGCTGTGACAAAAACTATTTTTAAAAAGCCTTTAAAACAGGTCTCAAGGACAGAAAGAATATGAATTCATTTGGTTCAACAGAGGGCTCCGCTGTCCGTCTGTCTGTGAGTCTGTCGTACAGAGGTGGCTTGTGTGTTTCTGTGACGCTGGAAACTATGCAGGCAGTATTTGAAATACCAACCGGATCTCCCACAGGGGGCAGGTTTCAGTGGCACTTTCTAAACTAAGGCCTGGCAATCGACTGGTGAAAATCAGCCCGTGCAAACGCTATAGCCCACAACAGAAGACTGTCCAGTAGTGTGCTTGGAGATGAGCCTCTAGGTTGGAAGGCACTGAAAATGGCTGTTAATGGACTGACACATGCCCATGATTAGGAAGGTGGCTCAGGACTGGGCAGGGTTTCATGATGCCGCATGCAGGCTCCCCGTGAGTCCGAGTCAACTCGAGAGCAACTAACAAGGAAATCTAGCACAACCAGTCAAACCTGCACCCGACAGAGAATACTAATTCTTTGTTTGATGTTTCTGAAATATTTGAAAACTTGTACTAGACCACAAAGAGAAGCATAAATCCTTAAATGTAGAAATAATAGGCCACACAAGGCAATTGTTGTTCATTGCCATACTTGTGGCAGTAAACCTGAAATTAATAATAATGACCCCAAAAAACTAACCACTAAGACATTTTAAAGTCTAAGAAAAATAATTTGGTAGGGAAATATAAATCCCCAACATTAAAGCACAAAGAGGTTAGAAAACATGTATAAATTATAAACTGAAGAAGAAATTGAAAAGTTTATCAGAGATACACCATTATCCCTCCCACCTACCCTCGATTCCCATATTCCCATAGTCCGTGTCGATGTGCAGTCCTCTTTTCAGGGAAACGGGAAATCTCATTCCTGAGTTTTGTGTGTACCCTTAGAGTCTGCATTAAGCTGGCAAAGTTGAAGTTGTATTAAACAGACCTAGTGCGAGTGAAACTGGTCAATACTTATGGGGAGGGGAGAAATCATAAGAGCCTGTCTTCAATAGTCTTTCATTGTACAAGGAAATAAAACGTTGCATGCTATACAAGGGTAAGTCAAAAAGTATTGCTGCAAAATCTAAACACCCTTTTAAAATAAAAACAAATGTGAAGCTATTATTTTTGGGGTGTATATTCTACCTCTGTAAGTGACACCTTTCTTACCTCCAGAATTATGGAGACCTCCACGGTCTCAAGTCGTGTCTCTCTCAGATATTCTTTGGGGGCTGGGGGGGAGCAAGTCTGAAGAGGCAAGATGAACTAAGGCTTCCCAATCCAATTCTCCCAGGACAGCCCTTGCTACCAAAGGAAGAGCAGGGGTATTCGTTGTGATGAGAACTTTTTTTCTTCGTGCAATTTTTTGGGCCTATTTTCTCACCGGTGCAGTTTTCAGCATTTAAAAACTTTTTTCCTAATAAGCCCCTGTGATCATCCTGTGTCCTTTAAAGAAGTCTGTTGAAATGACCCCTTTCGCATCCCCAAAACAGTCACCATAGCCTCTGAGCTGACCTGCCTCCAGTGTAGCAGGCCCAGCAGGTGTCCTTGGAAGCTACTGTTTTGTTGGATGTTTTCTTTATCGTTTTGGAAGGCACTTACACTAAAACAAGTGCATTGCTAAGGCAGCTTGTCTGCAGTCACCCAACTGGTCGCAGAGATAGGTGTAAGCAGATTTTGCGTAGACTAAACCCACACACCTAAGAACCAGACCCTTAGTGGCCATTCTCTTTGGTTTGTACCCTCGTAGTAGAAAAGATGGAGAGAAAGGGGGCTAACGTGGGACCAACGCTCGTCAAGGTTGCAAACGGAAGGGATCACTGTTGTCTTGACGAGGAAGGAGCCTTCTAAAAAGACGCATTCCTTTATGGGACCATCCCGGGGGCAGGAGACCTCTAGAGTTGCTAAATGGGGGGCTGAGCTGACCTCCCCTCGAGTAAACGAGGGCACTTTTTTTTTTAAGTCATTTTTTGGGGCCTCGTACAACTATCACAATCCATACACACATCCATTGTGTGTCAAGCACACCTGTACGTCTGTTGCCCTCATCACTCTCAAAACATTTGCTTTTACGTAAGCCCTTGGTATCAGCTCTTTTTTTCCCCTCCCTCCCTGCCCTCCTCCCTCGTGAACCCTTGATAATTTTTAAAATATTATTTTGTCATGAAGTATTTTTTTAAAGTTCTATTGACATATAAGCCAATGCTTTGAATATACTTTTAAAATTGTGCAATCAGGGTACTTTTTTTAACCTTGTTATTTTATTACCCTCATAAGCAGATCATAGCTAGACTGAATCCTGCGATCCTTTAGCTGGACTGTAAACTTCCTGTAGTCTAGCAATGCTGTATCGTTTGGCTTACTGGTATGGCCAATGCCTAGAACCAAAAGACAAGAAACTCCTCAATGAGTGGATTTTTTGTGCTGTTATAAGAATGGTTTCTTCTTAAAGGCACATCTGAGAAGGAGACCAGATATATAATCGAGTCTCCTTCACCTTGTTAGCTCAAGAATCGGGACGTCTCAGATGTAACAGCATCCGAAAGGGAAGACACCGCATTACTTACTCCTGCGGCCAAAAAACTGAAAATCGATCCCAAAGAAAAGAAAGAAAAGAAGCAGAAAGTGGATGAAGACGAGATTCAGAAGATGCAGTAAGTCACCCTCAGTGCTCCAGGCTCTGACGTCACCACGGAAAAGGAACACGTTTTGTGGGGAGAGGGCAGGGAGGGAGGATGACGGGATGAGCGGGACTGTGGACAGGCGCGGGTAAAAGGGAAAGTAGTCCACAAGCGGGACCAGCAGGGAGCAGGTGAGGGGAGAGAGTTGATTGGTAGTTGGAACTGTTGAATACAAAAGTTGATGCTCTGAAAAGGAAACCCCCACCTAACTGACAATAAAAAATTTATTTAAAAAGTAATACATTTTTCTCTTTTTAAAATTGAAGAAAACAAAACAATTAGTACACTGTCGTGTTGTAGAAATATAGGTAGAAAGTAAAAATAACTCCTCACCACCAGGGGATAGATTATATTAGTATTCACATTTATATTCCCTAAGGCATTTTCTACACACAGTACTCAAACTATTTCCAAAATTTTAAATATTGTTTTATAACCTTTTTTCCTTCATATCATATATAATTCTTTCCTTATCAGTAATTGGGCAAAGAGGGCATGAAAAAATGGAATTACAAGATAATGAAATTTTCCTGCAAGCTTTTTTAAGCAAGCCCTCTGGTGCATCTAGGTTATAATTTTCAAAATGGAAATAGCTTTGTTGTTGTTGTCGCTTTTTTATTTTAAATCATTTTGGGGGGGCTCGTACAGCTCTTATCTCAATCCATCCGTCGTGTCAAGCACATTTGTACATATGTTGCCATCATTTTCAAAACATTTTTTCTACTTGAGCCCTTGGTATCAGCGCATTTTTACCCCCTCCACCACCCTCCCTCCCTCATGAACCATTGATAATACTTGGTTCTATACTTTTCAGATTTTTTTCAATGCTTGATGTGTAGCTGTACATATATTTTCATGTTAATATGCCCGTAAGCCTGCACTTTAATGAATGCATTGTACTCCATTATGTGGATGAACCATAATTAGTCAATCTCTGTGACTGCCTCCCCACCTTGATGCCATTGTAGTGAATAACCCTGGGCTTGTCTTTGCCTGCTTATCCTTGTACTCGCTATGAGAACTCCTAGAAATTAATCCGCCAGCTCAAATACTCTGAACATTGTCAACGGCTTTCATAGTTTCCAAATTCCTCTCTTACAAAGCGGTTCCAGTGCACCATGCACCAGCATGGGCCAGTTTGTGTCCCCCACATACTTGCTAATGCCACTCTTTTTCATAATGAGCTGTATGTCTATGGAAAAGTTATGGTGTGGATCTCTTTAGTTAATGGCGAAGGTTATATTTATTGGCTACTTATAGTTTTTTATATTTATATTTATTGGCTACTTATAGTTTTATAAGTTTTCTCAGCTGTTTTTAAAATTGTGATGGCCATCCCTTTATTGATTTGAAATAATTCATTATCCAAGAATATTAACCCTTTTCCATATAATCTGCAAATATTTCCCCCATTTAACTTTCAGAGTCTAAAGTTGCTTGTTTGAACCTAAATATCTAGTTAACGTTTTACCACTAATCACAAAGGCAGTAAGGGGGAGTGAGGGCGAGAGCAAGCCGACTGGTGCACAGCCAGTCTAGTGGGAGTCTGTGAGGAACGCAGAACTGATGCTTTGAGGTTAAGGAAGTAACTGTGTTTTAAGAGGAGGAATGGGGCTTGACCTTAATTCTTCATAAGCACCAAGCATGAGCTTTATTTATCGTTTATTTTTGGTCCGGATTTGCTTTTATTTACACAGTATACTTTGTACATTCATTCCTAAAAACTAACTTAATTCCTTGAAACTTTCTCTAGAATCCTGGTTTCTTCTTTTTCTGAGGAGCAGCTGAATCGTTACGAGATGTATCGCCGGTCAGCTTTCCCCAAGGCAGCCATTAAAAGGGTAAGGGGCTGGGCCACTACACTTCATGTCCACTAGAACTGAACTCGGTTCAGGAGCCATGTCCATTGGCATCTGCAGTGCAGTGTTAGACAGGGTGGGGCAGCAGAAACTGACGGCCCTCAGTGAGCTAACCAGGTACCGTTTTTGTATTCCAGGGTTAAGGCCCCATTGTACAGAACAGACTCCATTTTCACAGTCAGTCTAGTGATTAGCAAACACTTGGAGCACACAGCTCGTTTGTGGGTAGCGTGTCAGTTCTTGACTAACTTAATCACAAAGAAGTCTTTGTCCTTCTCTCAAGCTGATCCAGTCCATCACTGGCACCTCGGTATCTCAGAACGTGGTCATTGCTATGTCAGGCATCTCCAAGGTCTTCGTGGGAGAGGTGGTCGAAGAAGGTAAGTCGTGTTGGTACAAATGCTGAACTGAATCTGACAGTTGTGTCCTCAAGTGCCTCTGTACTAAGGTACTTAGCAAAGCACCTGCTGTAGTTCTAATGTGTACAAGCTGGCCATATGGGAGCCAGTATTGAAAGTTTTAACAGGAGAGAACAAATGAAACATCTAGAAAAGCCCCTCCCCAATTATGGTCCTCGGCACAGGGTGATAGAAGCAGCCTTTGCATCTTTCTCCAATAGGCTTTGCTCATCCTGCTGCCGGAAGGAAGATACAGGAAAAGCATCCACTGGGGTCCCTGGTGTGATAAAGACTGGTCCCTTCCCTGGTGGTGTGACTCCTCTGTCTCTTGTGTAAAGGGCCCAGCAGCTGCCTCTCACCAACCTTCCCTCCCCCAAACACACACACAAGACTGACGTGGAGTCAAGTCTGACTCACAGCGAGCCTGTAGGAGGGAGTCGAACTGCCCCTTTGGGTCTGAGACTGAAAGCCGCCTCCCCCTCCTGCAGAGCGTGTAGCCCACCCTGTCACAGGTGCCTTTTGCCCAAAGCCTAGCCAGTGAAAAATGTACCAGAAGGTTGCCCATGAGAGACAGACTGTGCCTATAAGAAGGTTGCCTATGTGAGACAGACTGTGCTGTTGCTGACATGATACATCCTGTAGCATTCTCTTCAGATGTAAAGTGTCTTGTTTCCCTACTAAGTTCAAGAAGGGTTTTACTGAGAATTCCAGGCCTTGAAATGAGAGTATGATCAAGAACCCTTCATGTTAAAAAAAAGAACTGTGCCTTCGTGTGGTAATGAAAGCTTTCTCCTTCCGTTTAGCACTGGACGTGTGTGAGAAGTGGGGAGAAATGCCACCACTCCAACCCAAGCACATGAGAGAGGCTGTTCGGAGGCTAAAGTCGAAGGGGCAGATCCCCAACTCGAAGCACAAAAAAATCATCTTCTTCTAGGCCAAAGCCGCCCACAATGGTGCTTCAGGTTCCAGCCAGGATTGCAATGCCGTCCTCAGAACGGATGTCAGGCCGAGAAGCTGGCCAGTCGGCAGAAGAAAGGTGCAAGGACGTCGTTGAGCATTCTCTGATGCAGCAGCTGCTTTCCGAAAGGCGAGTGGTCTCACATGGAGCCTGAAGTTGCTCGGACTGACACTGTTTCTTACATGTGGGGTTCCGTGATGAAAGCCCCAGGAACTTCCAACTTGTGATACTCTACCATGATACCTAGTGAGAACAGGCATCCTTGCCAACGTTTGATTCTCCAGGGGATTCTGGTGAGGGATCATTAAACTATTTTCTGGTTGTAATAGGGAGATATAGGGTGTCAATGTAAAACTGGTCCTGTTTTTGTGAAAAAGCCCTACCCATTTTCTACTTAAATCATTAAAATTCTCTCCAAAAACAAAACAAAAACCCATGTATTCCTCTAAACATACACCACAACCGATATTATTTATTCACAACCAATATTATTTAATGTTTAATTTTTTCCCCCGGATGGTTCATAGAACCAGTACACTCAAGGTTTGATCAGAAATCACAACATTAAAATTTCCCAATACTGACCAGGATTCCAGTCCATTGGTACATTCTTGTTTTCCTTGGATACAGGGGGATAGAGTGACCTATTGTTAACAGTGATTAGCCATAATAAGGCTGATCTAACTGGCAATCCCCAGGAATTCTTCCCCCCTAGCATTCAGTGTCATAGGAGAATGTTGAAGCTGTTCTCTTTTGAAGCTTTCCTGAGCATGCGTCTTAGGACAGATTCCGATTCTGTTTAGCACCCAGGTTAGAGGAAACACCTTGAACTCATAAGACTGGGAAAATCGGGCTTAAGAATATCAAAACACAATGGCTGTCCTTCAGTACAGAGCCAGTGGGAGGAGACACAGGCAGCAGAGAAATGCTGTTAAACAATGGGCAAAAACCTAGGTCTTCTCTAGGAAATATCAGGAAGGGTTAAAGTCGTTCCAGAATCCGCTGCAATTGGATACTGGAGGAGACTGAGACTTGGAAACACAAGAGGAACCCTAGCCACTGTGACGAAGCTGCAGTGTTACAGAGTGCAGTGAGAGATGCTACTCTCCAAATCCACTGAGCACAGTGGGACTAGTCCTGGTCTAGCAAAAGGTATGTAGGGTGGGGGTGGGCCAGCTAGGTGAAGACCCCGGGCCATGAAAGGACGGTGTGTCCCAGTGGATTCTCTCAAAGTCCCCCTGCAGTTCTCCAAGAACCAGATGTCACCTTTCCTGTGTGTACAGTGGTTTCCATAGCTTTATAGTTTTACTAGAACGGATTTGAGACACTTGAACATCCGTGGGGGGGGGGGAGGGTCAGTCTCAATGTAAAGGTGTGGAATGGAAAGTTCCAATAATCACCATGGCACTATTTCACACTGTCTTCTTTCCACCCCAGATCTGAGGGGAAATGAATGGTGTGAGTTCACTGGAAGCGTACCAGTAACGGTGCTGGGGTGGGGTTCATGCCTAGTGTATTCCATATACAGGACCCACTGCTTTGGGACTGTGGAAGGGGGCATAAAGAAGGTCGAGGTCTGTTACAAATGGAGTCAGGTGACAGTAAGAGGCAGTCATCTGACTAGAACACACTCCTTGCGAGAAGCTTGGTGGGTGCCACGAGTTGAAAAGAGAACTCCGTAAAAGAGGTGTCCCCATAACCCAGCTCTGGAGGGTCTGAATGCTCATCCACTGGAGCAGCGGTGCCTCGTCCCTCCACGTGAACAGGAGCGCCAGACAGGCACAGAGCGCCGTCATAGGGACTGCACAACAAAGGCTGGTGTGCAGTGGCGGGAGTCCTGGAGGGCTAGCGGTGCTGCCTGGACAGTTTCTTGAGGTATTATTTCTTGTTCAGACTCTTGCTGCCCAAGAGGGAAATCCGAAACAATCCAAAGGAATTGACGCTTTTCCTCGTCTTCCGTGACACTCACCCTGAGGCCTGCCACCACATGGTGGGAGGCAAAACCTTCCCGATGAACAGGGGTATGAAGTTACACAAGATGATTTCCTGAAAAATCCCATGAGATAATGACCCTGCCACATTTCCTGAGGGTGGATTTCAAGACACGATGGGATGGCCAAAGCTGCCACGTAAGAGGTCCTACACAGGATGGGCCCAGAAATCTGGACTCTAGCTATTACGGGGCTAACCTTCCTGCTTGCTGGATTGGTTTCCACTGCCTCCTACCAAGCAAAAGTAGACGACAAATAATGATCTTACACCAATTCAGGGCAGTAATGCCGCTCCCTGTCTACTGCATCTGCCCACACTGTCTCCCAGAGTAATGGAGCTGCCACACTTGAGAGCCAGTAACACGCTTCTGCCTTTGGAGACGAGTTTGTGGAGGCCTGCAGTTCCCTCTCAGGCGTGCTACCACCAGCCAGCCCTAATTTCCTACCGTCCCTCCTGGGAGGCCACCGTACAGGATTCTTCTGAAGCCTTCTGAGCCCATGTACAGAGTTTCTGAAAGTGAGCCGCTCGGTGAAATTTCTGATTTGCTGTGAGAAGTGTGTCTCGTACCTGAGGTAGAGCCCGAGACCTAGGATTTCAGACTCAGTAAGCATGCTCTGGTTCTTGCCTGGATCTCTGGCCCAACACTTCTGCTTTCATCTTTCCAGGATGGAGACTGTATTCGAAAGATGGTTCCCCGTGGGGGAAGAGCACGAGGCCTGATCATCTTTTAGCTCACGCCTTGCCCCTTTCCGAAGTGAGGCCACTAGAAATCCACAGACAATCTGATGAAGGCATGACCGTGGTCTTAGGCGCGATGGTGCTTTGGGTGCTGCCCCCAAAGCCCTCCCTGATGCCTAGGGAGCAGGTGGGCTTTGGCCAGGGCAGCACGCTGAGCCCTCCTCGTCAGCGATGCTGAGCAGTCTTCCCTGAGCTTAGCGGAGCTCGTGACCTTACCTGTTGGTGGCTCTCCCACAAACACGGGACACTTGCCCATTCCGAACCTCAGCTTGCTATTCCGAGTTCTCGGACCCTCCTGTAGTTTGTTCTTAATCTCACCTGGTTTGACTTTTCACTGCCTTCAGTTCATGACGTTTGATTTCACAACGCTAGTACTTCCAGGTCTTCATAAAAATCTTAGTTGAACCAGGCATCACCCTTTAAGAAAGGTCTCCATTAGCATTCGTCCAGAAATATGCTTCTTTTTTTCCTACACCTCAGTCCCTTTCTAAGCATGACAAATGATCCTAGTCATATAGCAATTGTTTTAAAAACCGCCTGTCTAGAACGTTGACAAGTGTTTTTTGAAAGTCTAAAAAATTCCATCTAGTTCCTTCTTGAATGCACATTTATCTTCGCATAAAACCAGAGGAGATCAATCAGGTGGGAATTCCTGTAAAGGGTCATGTGCGATTTAAGACTTCAGTGACACCATTACACCAGTATTTTGCCATGTTGCCAAGTCAAGGTGAGTCAGCCGATGAACTTCTATCCAATCAACGTAGACGCAGAGTGGTATGGATGAAGGTGGAGTGTTGGCGGGGAGTTAGATAGGAAAGGAACATCCCTTAGAGGTCAGGGGAAACCCAGCTGGGTGGAAGGGTTGAAGTCAAAATTATGTGATTAAGAAAAGCCACAGTGAGAGAGGGGATAGGAGAACAAGGGGCTGACATGTTTATGTTACTGTTTAAAACACATTTTTAGTCCCCAAACGACCCGGTGCTGAGGAGAGGGCTGGGAGAAAGTCACAGTGCTGGGAAAGAAGCTGTGCCAGGGCCCCAGGGGGACTCTCAGAGGTTGAGGCCCTGCTGTGGAGAAGGGGAGGGGCTCCGGCAAGCCCAGCGGCTGGGACTCAGCCTGCTGTGGGTCCTCCCCCATCACGCCTTCAGTTCAACCTCGCTCTGAGGGGCCCATTCTTGGTTTCAACTCCAGATGCACAGTTATACAGGGCAGGGCAGGGCTAGCACCAGTGCTAATACCCCTGCACCACGATGATGACCAGACAACTGAAAGGACGCGGACCCTGAACAATCTGACGGTGGATGACAGGAGCTTGGTTCCCTTTCCAAAAGCGCAGCGTCCAAGGCCCCTTATTTTCTCGTGCCTTTCCTGACCCGCCACACCTTGCCGGATGACTTCTTACTTGACTATTTACTGTGGCCAAAGCTTAAGCCAAAGCCCGTTCAGGTGTGCTACAGGAAGCTCTGGGACATGGAATCTTTGGTGGCTCAGTGGGGGCTGAGAGGAGACTACTTCCCCTTGTTCACAAAGGCTGTGGAAGAAGCATATGTCTCTGCCATGGAATCGGGATCTGCATGCCCAGATCCCCCGGTATACAGAGGCCTGGAAGGTTATCTATAGCAGGAGATGAGTGTGAGCCACACACAAAGGTGCCCCCAATTTCCTGCGACGTGATCACACTTGGCCCTGTCCTCCGCCTGTGTTCGAACAGTTAGTGGAAAGCACCCCCCACGAGGAGTGAGTCCGGCATACTGCACTCTGGACGTCCTCGGCGGACTCTTCAGCACTGGGCGCGCAGCCGCAGCCCCTGTGTGCGGCAGTGCTGCTGCTGCTGCTGCTGGTCTCTCTCCGTGGCACGGAAGCCCGAGGCACCGCTGTCAGAGCTCAAAGAGCGGGTTATATTTCCTAATCTCCTGAAGCAGTTTCGCCTTGTCCTGGTTGGCATTAGCCAATGCTAGTTTGGTTTCTTGAAGTTCTTTTTGTAAGGAGGGCAGTTCTTTTATCTGAGAAACAATAAGTAGTACCCAGTTAATGAACAGACTAGATGATACCACCTTCTTACAGCAGTCAGGAAGGGGCAGGAAGAACCCACATAAAGATGACCAAGAGGACCCAACAGGGGAGCAAGCTTCACCCCCCGGACTTGCAGACGCAGATACACAGCAAGACCAACAGCCCTCACGGTTTGGCCAGCTTCCAGGTGACAGTGCCTCCGAGCTTGTGGAAAGGGGGATCTTCAGTTAGGGACTCACCTGCAGTCCAAAAGCCACCACCTCTGTGGGGACCAGGAACGCTTGTTCTTTGGGGGGCTGCCTCTTCTCACTTTTAGGTACTTGTGCTTCTGCTGATGGCCTGTCCTGCGCAGCAGCTGGAAAAGAGGGAAAGATGCGAAGTGACACACTGCTGCCAAGACCCAAACCTCTTTCCTCAGAGGGAAAGAAGGCAGAGAGGCTAGCAGCCCGAGGGCTCTGACTCACCGCCTATGCTGAACACCCCGTCATCACTCCGCTTCAGCACCAGGTGCTCCATGGCCAGGGTGATGGGGACAGGGCCCGGGGACGTCGGGTAGATGGGAGGGATGTCATCCTGCAGGAAGAGGAAGAATCCCCATGATGCCCCACCCAGCTCAGAACCATTTAGACAGCACAGCCCATTCAGCCTGGAGCTCTTTTATGTTGTTATTTCTCCACACAGTCCTGCAAAGTGTGGGAGTTATAACAGTCCCATTCTAGAGTGAAACTGAGGCTTAGATACCCCATCTAGTCATGCCTCAGGCCAAAGACAGGGCTATGATTACACACAGGGTTCTCGCTTGAATCCCAGACTTCCCGACAGCAATAAAGTAGCTGGCTGCTAGCCAAAGGTTCAGTGGTTCGAACCCAACAGCTGCCTCAGGAAGAAGGTTTTGGGATCCTTGGGCTCCCGGTAGGGTCACTATGACTCAGAATTGACTGGCAGCAAGGAGGACACGGTAGAACACTGACAAAGCATTACCTCGCTTGCTCCTCACCAAGTTCTAATGGTGACAAGGGAAGAAGTTGACAACTGCCGTTGCAGGCCCTGGAGAGGAGGGGACGGGAGTGTGCACGCACGTGTGCGTGTGCGTTTCTCTCTCACCTTCAGGGTGATGCTGGAGTTCAGGAGCTCAATCTGCATGGGGACCACCACTGGAATCTCCTCATCCTCAAAGAAGGGCCCCAAGGCATTGAGCACTGAAGTGAACAGCTCAAGGTCACAGCCATGAACCAAGCAGTGCAAGAAGCCATTCTGTGTGGCCAGTGGGGAATGGACAGCAGCAGCAGGCCCCACCTCAAATCGAAGGCCCACAGCTGGCCTGATGTGGCCGGCCTTCAAAGTCGAGGGATCCTGAAAACTTGCATCTTTGCGAAGAAAGAGAAGGAAGAGTTATTGGCAGCCAGGGGCAGGTCTAAGCACTTCACCTCTACTTACTATGCCTACCATTCCTGTGAGATGTAATCAGCGTCCCGTCCCACAGATGCAGGCTTCACTTGCCCTAAGGTTTGGACACCAAGGAAGCCACAGCCTCGGGTCTGGGAGAAGCAGCCTGGCTGTACAATGAAAAGGGCACGGCCACTTTGGTGGAATGCCACTCCAGGTAGAAGAGAGCCTAAGGAATGGTTCCAAACCGGCCTAGCTCTGAATCTGAGGTGCTGGCCTAATGGCCCAGGGAAGGCTCTTAAAGCAAAGGACCTTCAAGTCAGCTCGACTTGAATGTCTCTCACTTTATCAAAGGCTCTATCATCTCTCTCTACTAGAGCCACGTATGACATACGCTACCCTCTTCAAGCTCCATAAAGACAAGCCCTGGTACAGCCAAGGGCATGGAACTGCTCATATATTTACTGAACTGACACAGCCGCTTTGGGACATAATTTGGCATTCTCTGGTAAGTAAGGATGAAGCTAAACCTACCCTAATGACCTAGAAATTATGTCCACAAGACTATAACTCTGAAGGAATTCTTGGCCATACTATATTTTTCCCCAAATAAGGTGCACATGCCTATAGTGTGCACACACATAGCGAGCATCTGAAAACATGTGAGGGTTTAACATGGTTTGCTTGTGTTATTCGCCTAAAATTAAGGTATGTACCAGGAGACATGAACAAGATTGGTTTATGGCAACACTATTTGAACACTATTTGAAATAGCAAATACAAACAGAAATAACTTGGATATCTGTTCAGGACAGATGGAAAAGGTAGAGTGGTAATGGGCATAGGGGATCTTTTGGGGGTGATGAAAATGCTCTAAAATTGAATGGCGGTGAAAGCAAATTTACAGAGCCGTGAAACTAAACTGTTATCAAGCTGTCTAACAGGCACCCTGATGGCACAGTGGAGTACGTGTTGGGCTTCTAGCCGCAGTCAGTTTGAACCCACCACTTACTCCTACAGGGCAGCTCTCCTCTGCACTATCAGGCCTCTGAGCTGGTATCAACTTGATGGCACTGGATTTAACTTATTGAAAACGAGAGTGTTTTGGTGGTGCAGTGGTTAAGTACTTAGCTGCCACTGAAAGGTCAGAGATCCACACCCAGCAGCTCCTCCACTGGAGAACAAGCTGGCGATGGGTTCCACAAAGCCTGCAGCCTAAGAAACGCATGGTGCAGTTCTGCTCCGCCACGAGTCAGAGCTGACCGGCCGCCACACCACAGCAGCAATCCTTCAAGGGAGCGAACTGCAGCGTATGTCAGGTGTATACCACTCTAGCTGGTGTTCTAAAAAGGTGACGATGGTATGCAACAGAGTGCTACATAATAACCCAACAAAGAAACTCACTGCCATCAAGTGTATTCCGACTCTTGCTTGACACATGGATGTATGGATTGTTATAAGAGCTGTAAAAGAACTGATGGTGCCTGGCTATCAAAAGATATAGCGCCTGGGGTCTTCAGGGCTTGAAGGTAAACAAGCGGCCATCTAGCTCAGAAGCAACAAAGCCCACATGGAAGAAGCACACCAGCCTGTGAGATAGTGAGGTGTCGAAGGGATCAAGTATCAGGCATCATCAGAACAAAAAATCATATCATTGTGAATGAGGTGGGGAGTACGGAGTGGAGACCCAAAGCTCATTTGTAGGCCATTGGACATTCCCTTGCAGAGGGGTCACAGGGAGAAGATGAGACAGAGTGCGATGTAGCAACAATGAAAAATACAACTTTCCTCTAGTTCCTAAATCCGCCCCCCACCCCCCACCCCCGCCTCCACTATCATGATCCCAATTCTACCTTGCAAGTTTGGCTAGACCAGAGGATGTACACTGGTACAGATAGGAACTGGAAACACTGGGAATCCAGGGCGGATGATCCCTTCAGGACCAGTGGTGTGAGAGGCGATACTGGGAGGGCAGAGGGTGGGTGGGTTGGAAAGGGGAAACCGATTACAAGGATCTACATGTGACCTCCTCCCTGGGGGATGGACAACAGAAAAGTGGGTGAAGGGAGACGTCGGACAGGGCAAGATATGGCAAAATAGTAATTTATAAATTATCAAGGGTTCATGAGGGAGGAGGGGGGAGGGGAGGAGGGGAAAAATGAGGACCTGATGCCAGAGGCTTAAGCGGAGAGCAAATGTTTTGAGAATGATGAGGGCAATGAATGTATAAAATTTGCTTAACACAAGTGATGTATGAGTGGATTGTGAAAAGAGTTGTATGAGCCCCTAATAAAATTGTTTTTTTTAAAAAAAGAAGAAGAATTAGAGGAGGGAAAAAAATGAGCTGTAAGAGCCCCCAATAAAATGATTTTTTAAAAAGTTGATGCTGACTTACAGCACCCTCACAGGACAGGGTAGAACTGTCCCTGTGGGTTCCAAGACTGTAAAACCCTCGGGGCAGCTAGTGGCTTCTAACTGCTACCCTTGCAGTGAACAGCCTAACGTATAACCACAATGCCACCAGGACTCAGAATATTATGTAGCAGTGAAAAATGAATGCATTGTAGCTAACTCAACAGCATAGAAGAATTTTTAAAAATATGTTAAGTGAAAAATATCACAAAAGACCATAAACTATGAATCCCTTCAAATAAACTCAAGGAGCAGGTGAGAGAGAGAGAAAAGGAGGCCTTGATGCTTAAGGGACACTGAGCTGATGTACTAAGAGTAACAGAAAAAATTGGGAACAGATAAACAGTGACGGTTCAACTGTGATTCTCTCTTGAAAGCATGCATGGGAAGAGTGTTGAAATGACCAATGGCTGGCTACAGAGATACATGTACCACAATAAAACAGTGAGGGAGGGGGGACCCTGAGAAATGAAAAAATATATCGATACAAATCCTACTGCGAGGCAAGTAATTCACACCAAGTCCAGGCTCATGATAACCTCAGACAGGCAAGGGTCAGAGACAGCCAGTGAAGAGCGCCCATGAGCTCTCAAGGGAGTGGCGCCCACTGTTTATTAAGGTATGTATAAGCACACAGGCTCGTCATCACAGTGCTATTTTTATGTCTCAGCTACAGTTTAAAACTATTCTTTAGGACCTAATTGGCATATTTTTAACATTTAATCATGTTCAGACTTTTCCTGATCCTCTGAAAGGATAAATGATAATTCGCATCACAGGACTGACTGTGCCCAAGAGTTCCTTGATCAGACCCAGTGTTATGTCAGCAGCCACATGCAGGAGCAAAGGAACACCTGACACCGAGTGGAGCACAGCCCACTGCAGGCAAAGCCTTGCTCAGGAAGAGCTCCTGGAAGCTCCCGGCAAAAAGGAGGCCTCAGCGGAGCTCTTCTGCCCCCTACTGGCTGCTTGCCTTTAGAACACACCGAAGGGCAAAACTTAAGCTCCAGCTAGACAAACCCTGCCCCCATCCTCACCTGGGCACTGTCCGTGCAAGAACTGCCAGAGGCCCACGGTGCCCAGCTGCTGGAGGGTCAGTTCCTCTGCTTGCATGGCCACGATCAGGTCCTCCCCATGCACCTCTATCCCCAAAGCCACCTCATTCACCCTCAGGACCAGCACTGAGACCTGTCAAAGAGACTCTCTTAGCGCCGAGTCCCGAGCTTCCAGCCCAAAGCCCACTCTCTACAGAGAAGAAAGGAAAGCAACTGACCGGGTGAATGTCGAGGCCTTCTCCACTGGGTGAGACCGCGCCATTGGCCTCGGGAGACCCCTGGCCAGGAGTGTCCACAGCAGGGCTCCCTTGGACACCAGCATCATCCAAGACACTGGGAAGAGATCCTGACGGGAGAGAATCCGGACCAGACTCTGCATGAGGAAAGGACAGGCGGATTTTCACAAAAATGAAAAAGCCCTGTTCACGTCTAACCTCTAAAAACAATCACAACAGTAAACAGAACATTAACGGCATCTTATAAGGCAATTCAAAATTCAGATATTTGATAAAATGTGTAAATTACTTTGCTTTTTTTCCCAAGTGTAATCATGGTATTTGTCACATAGATGGGTAAAAAGACTACCTTTTAGAGATGCAAACTGGAAAGATTTACAGATCAAATCCTGATGTTCAGCATTTGCTTATAAACGACAGGAAGGGGGAGTGGGTGGCGGTGTCCAGGGAACAAGGTTGGCTGGGCCCTTCCTAGCTGAGGCTGGAGGCTAAGTACATGAAGGGTTCACTAGGGGATCCTGTGAACTTGGGCACATATTTAAAAGTCCCCATCAGAGGTTACAAAGACTAATAATAGAGCAAACATGGGTACCACCATGCAAACTAATAATACTTTCTCTTTATTCTCATGTTGACGCTTTAACAAAACAAACAACACTGCCATCAAGCTGATTCCAACTCACAGTGACCCTGAAGGACGGTGAAGAACTGCTCCTTCGGGTTTCCGGGACCATGAATCTCTGCAGGAGACTCTTCAACCAAACTCCCTCCTGCCATCGAGCGGCTGCCAACTCATCGCACCCTCTCCACTGGGCAGGGGAGACCTGGCCGTGAGTTTCTGAAGGGAACTTTTCACAAGAGCAGAAAGGCCCTGTCTTTGTCCTGCAGTTCTTGGTGGTTTTAAACTGCTGACCTTTCAGTTAACTAGCCCAACACATAACCAGTACGCCAAGTCTCTTCTTGTGACAAAAGTCATGAGCTAACCAATAATTTAGTAAATGGAGGATAAAGCCAGAGCCACAGACCCATTAAAACTTCTTTTTTTGTGGGGGAAGGATGGTGGGGAGGGGGGAGGTGTTTAAGAAAACCTATATTTTACCAATTATTGGCTCCTTTTCAATCTTGCTGGTCTGAATAAAGGGAGCAAGAGAGCTCTTCCTGGATTTCTGCAGTCCTGCCCAAGGAGCCCTGGTGGTGGAATGGTTAAGGTGTTGGGCTACAATCCGCATGGTCGACAGTTCGAAACCGCCAGCAGCAGCTCTAGACAAAGACTGGGCTTTCTACTCCTGTAAACAGGTCCAGTCTCAGAAACCCACAGGGGTCACTATGAGTCAGCAGTGACTCAATGGCACTGAGTCTGGAGTTCTGGTGGCAGCCCTGCCTGACTCGCTTCCACTTACCAGACTCCAAGAGCATCACAAATCCCTCACTGCCGTCGCTGTCCACTGAAATCCGGTCTTCAGGGCCACTGCTGTCCAACGAGACACCATCAAATGACTGCTGGGACATGGTCCTCCTCATGGAGAAAAAGCGGAGTCGGGCAGCTCCTCCGCTCACTGGCGTGGCCACCCCCTCATCCATCTTGGCCAGGGGATCCCTGTTTAACAAAACAACACACACTCGGGTAGCTTAGCTTGTTTCCACCTCCAGACAGTTCACGTCAAGCAAACCTGGGACTCCAAAAACAGAGGAGCTGATGCAAAAGGCTCAGGTAGAAAGAAAACCTTTCTTTCTAAGGATGGTGGCAACATATGCACAAATGTCTTGATACACTCTCGAGGTACAGATTGCTAGAAGAGCTGGAAGAGCCCCCAAGAAAATGATTTATTCAAAACACTGGGGCTCCAGCTAACACCCCCTTTTAGAAGGGGATCAGGTCTCTTTCTCCCTCAACCATGAGATTTTCCGAACCCTCTTACTCCAGCATCTCAAACTGCATAAGCACTGCTCTCACGGCAGCATTAGATGGCCAGCTCATCAAGGTCATTCCTCACACAGACCCCAGTGCTCCCTGCTTCCCTGGAGTTCATGCCTGCCACCATCCCTCAGCTTACTCACTCAGCACCCCTTCTGTCCACAGACACTACTGTACACGGTGTGTGTGTGTGTGTGTGTGTGTGTGTGTGTGTGTGTGTGTGTGTGTGAAACAACAAGCTAAAAAATGGAGGAAAGCTGGCTGAGCAAGAGAATGATGACGCTCAATGACGGGGGTAAAGAATGTGGTTTCGTGACTGTGAGGTGCAACGCGGCCCTAGGAGGTGCACATGGAGCTATAGCCAGTTTTAACTGAAGACCGGGGAAGGAGAATCCCAACTGGAAATACAGACTTCAGCAGAAATAAGATGGAGTCAATAACCGAGCGAGAGAGATGGGTATTCAAAAGGATAGTGTGATGTGAACTTTCTGAAACTTGGGCAGACAGAGCACACTGTTGGAATGCGTGACTCAAAAATCCCCACCTCTACCTTTTATTCTCAATATGCAGTTATGCACTATGTACCCAAAGAGGGGGGTGTTCACAACAATGAGGGCGTTGAACAGACTAAATGAACCCAATTATGGACTGTTGGGTAAATCGTGGTACATCCCTCGGCTTGACTATGGCATGCAATTTAAAACCATGCACTCAGACACCCAAGGGATGGGAAGTACCCACCAGAGGAGCCCTATGGGAAGTACCCACCAGAGGAACCCCATTGTTAAAGGACATCTGTGTATATCCTCTAAGTATAGAGACATAACTCACATGTGCACATCAATGTATGCGTATAAAAATTGGAAGAAAACAGACCCAAATATAAATAGTGGCGATCTCAGTGATTCTTAGGTTTTCTTCTTTATTCTTCTGTCGTTTCTACGTTGTCGATATAAGGAGCACACGTCGTTTTTATAATTAAAAAACAGGCTTGCCGACAAAGCACTGCCATCAAGCTGATTCCAACTCACAGGGACCCTGAAGGACAGCGAAGAACTGCTCCTTCGGGTTTCCGAGACCATGAATCTCTGCAGGAGACTTTCAACCAAACCCCCTGCCATCGAGCGGCTGCCAACTCATCGGCAGCCAACTCATCGCACCCTCTCCACTGGGCAAGGGAGACCTGGCCGTGAGTTTCTGCAGGGAACTTTTCACAAGGGCAGAAAGGCCTGGAAACGGACAGCCTGCCTCCGGGGCATATACTTGGATAGGACAGAAGGAAGAAGCGAGCAGCCAGGGAAAGAGAGAAGAGCCGCTCAGAGACGTGCTAGTACCCGGGCACTGCCACAGCCGCTCGGAAGGCCTGCCGACCAGTAGCCCTGAAGGAGGCTGAGACACGGGCCACGGGCCGAACACTCAGGAAGCCACTGTTCATGTTTAAAAGGGAGCTTTCTTCAGGCACACATTTCTTCTCTCCTGTCCCATCTCCCTCACTCCTCTCCCCCTTGAAAAGGGCACACAATGTAATGACTGGGTGCCCAGGCTCGCAATCCTCGCCCCACCACTCACAGGCTGTGTAATCTTTTTTCAATCATCTTATTGGGAGCTCTTACAGATATTATAAGAATCCATAATTCAATTAGATCAGGCATAATTGTACAATTGCTGCCATGATCAGTTTCAAAACATTTTCTTTCTTCTTGAACTCTTTGATATCAGCTCCCCTTTATTATTCTCTCTGTCCTGACCCTACACCGCCCCCCAGGAACCCTTATTACTCTATTATTTATCTATATAGATGGAAAGATAGATACACACACACGGAGGTTTGGGGTCGTGTCTTACACCATCCAGTGTACCCATTCAGCCACCATTCTCCTATTCACTCCACTCGAGCGGGCCGCACAGTCAGGCTGTGTGATCTGAACCGAGCTCCTGGACTCTCCGAGCCTCATCTGTCACACGGGAAGTGCTATCAGTCCCTGCCCTCAATGGGTAGTTACAGCACTTAATGCGTTAATATTTGTGTTCCAAACAGTCCTTGGTACATAGAAAGCGCTCAAATGCGTGTAAAAGCGGAACGACGAACAAGGAATGCTGAAGAAAACTGGATGCCTTTGAATTACAGCGGCGTCAAGGAATATGGACTATACCACGGACTGCCAGAAAAGCGAAGAGAACAACCCTGCATGTTGGAAGTACAACCAGGATGCTCCTTAGAAGCGAGGATGGCGAGACTTCACCTCATGAGCGTGGGCATGCTGTCAGGAGGGACCGGTTCCATCCTGCTTGGTAGAGGGCCAGCCAGAAAGAAACCCTCCGTGAGGCTGGGTGGACACCGTGGCGGCCACGATGGGCTCAAACACAGGCACAGCTGTGAAGATGGCGCAGGACTGGGCAGCGGACACAAGGTCAGTACCAGTTAGAAGAGAGGAGATGGCACCTAACAAGTATGAGTCTGTCTTCCTGCCGCCTACGTGTTCCTCTCCTCTTCCCCCGAGGCGGTCTAGGCCTAGCACGTACTAGCGCACCAACAGGCGTTGCTCAGGCTTGTTTACGACACTTCTCTTAGGACAAAAGCAAAAAAACAAGAAAGGCACAAGCGTTCATGCCACAGACCTGGTCTTCGTTACCTTTCCTAAAGCCACAGGCTCCGTGGGAGATCCACGCTGCCTTTCCACACCGCTGACCATGCTCGTCTGACTTTCTACTTCGGAACAATCACACGGGGCTCTTCCTGGTGGAGGCCCATTAGGGGCCCGGCAGCGTTCACTCATTGACTTCCGCGCTGCATCGGCTCAATGGGCTCCTCTGAAGCCCCTTTCTCCCGTTACAAACGGAGGATACCAATGCCTCCAGCTCTCTCCTTGGGCTGCTGTGGGAACCCAATCACACAAAACCCGAGGCGAAGGCCCACTGAAGAGCATGACATATGCCCCGGGGGACATGGGAGAGGGGAGGTGGGGGAAGGAAGAGGTGTTAGCCAAGCCAGGGACAAGGGAACAACAAGGGATCCAAAATCAGTGGTGAGGAGGGTGTAAGAAGCCTGGTAGGGCTTGATCAAGGGCAATGTAACCGAATTATAGGAATTACTGAAACCCAAATGAAGGCTGAGCATGATAGTGGTACAAGAGGAAAGTAAAAGGAAATACAGTAGAGGAAAGAACTAGGAGGCAAAGGGCATTTATAGAGGTCTAAATCCAGGGATGTACATATGTGAATATATTTATATATGAGGATGGGGAAGTAGGTTTATGTGCGTGTATTTACAGGCTTAGTATTAAGGTAGCAGATGGACATTGGGCCTGCACTGAAGTACTCCCTCAATGCAAGAATACTTTGTTCTATAAACTGGCATTCCATGATGCTCACCTTCCCGACAAGATCGCTGAAGACAAATGGGCGCATAAGCAAATGTGGTGAAGAAAGTTGATGGTGCCAGGCTATCAAAAGATACAGTGTCTGGGTCTTAAAGGCTTGAAAGTAAACAAGCGGCCATCTAGCTCAGAAGCAACAAAGCTCACATGGAAGAAGCACACCAGCCTGTGCGATCACGAGGTGTTGAAGGATTCAGGTACCAGGCATCAAAGAACAAAAAATCATATCATTGTGAATGAAGGGGACTGCAGATTGGGGACCCAAAGCCCACAGGATGTACACTGGTACAGATAGGAACCAGAAACACGGAATCCATGACAGATGATCCCTTCAGACACAGTGGTGAGAGTGGTGATACCAGGAAGGTGGACAGAAGGTGGGGTAGAAAGGGGGGACCGATTACAAGGATCTGCATGTGGCCTCCTCCCTGGCGGACGGACAATAGAAAAGTGGGTGAAGGGAGACATCGGACAGTGTAAGATAGGACAAAGTAATAATAATTTGTATATTATCATGGGTTCATGTGAAGGGGGAGTGGGGAGGGGGGAAATGAGGAGCTGATACCAAGGGCTCAAGTAGAAAGCAAATGTTTTGAGAATGATGATGGCAACAAATATACAAATGTGCTTGACACAATGGATGGATGGATGGATGGATTGTGAGAATAGTTGTATGAGCCCCCAATTAAAATGATTTTTTAAAAAAGAGTGTAAAACATGACACTGAGCCAGGTGGGGTTAGTCAGATACAGAACATCTGCATCAACTATGGTGATCACTTGATTCCTGGCAACAGTAACTGTTGATTAGAAAACTGCCCAAATGGGCTACGGGACATGGAGGCAGAAATACGACCTTGGGATTTGGAGTGTCTTTACTGCAATCCCTGGCTTTCCCTTAAAACAGACTTGGATCCAGCCCTAAAAACGCACTCTCCAACTATGGAAGCCTACGTCCTCCTCGACGGAGCATGACCACACCTCTGAAAACAGGCTTTGCCAGAGGAACTGTGCAGCCTCAGGACTGCACGGTGCTCCTCATGCTGAAGCTGCACATGGCAGGAGGCCCAAGCCCGGGCACGCAGGGAAGGGCGGGGAGCCTGAAGGAGACAGAGGACCACTCACTTGGCTGGGGGCAGGGACAGCATCTTGTGCACGGTGGAGGTCATGCGGTCTTTGCCGAGATTGAAGGCATCCCTAGTCAGGGCCACGGCTTCCTTGGTGAGGTCCATGGTGGCATGCAGGGCCTCCTTGGTGGCATCCTGGGTCATGTGAATAGCACTTGACAGCTCCCCTTCAACGTTCTTCAAGGGGATGAGGTCGCCCTGCCCATTCACAGCAGTTTCTCTGCCAGTCGGGGGCTCCGCCGCTGTTGCTGAGCTGGACACTTGGGCCCGGCTGAGCTCGACTGCCTCGTGGCCCTGTCCCGCCTGCTGCCGGGCGAGCGAGCCCGAGCCCTGCAGGTCTCCGTTACTCGGCCGAGGCGCTGGCCCGTCCTGGGCTCCGGGCAGGTTTGCAAGGCTACTGTCCTCCAGCACCTTCTCTGGGCTCGCGGGGCCCTGGTCCGAGGAGGCGTCCGACTTCAGCTCCCGGCCCTCCGAAGGAGAGGGCTCCGAGTCCAGGAGGCTGGTGGTGTCTGACCCAGCAGAGTCCGCCTCACCAGGCCTGGGGGCAGGGGGCAGGAGCAGAGCCACTTCGGCACTGGGGAAGAGGACTCCAACGCAGGCCGTCTGGTCCTGCAGGGGCGTCCCCATCATGGCCTCCGTATCCTTTGTTAGCTGCTCCAGAAGACCCTGCAACTCCTCCTTCAGGCGGAGCAGAGCCAGGTACTGGTAGTGGTCAAGCCTCACACGGACCTGGGCGGGGGACTGGACCAGCACGTGAACGTCAGCTGCATCCTCCAACCCCGACAGAGGGCCCTTGCTCTCGGCATCACCTCCGCTTTCCTGCAGCATCCCCACGACTTCCGGGAGTCCTGAGAGGCTTTTCAAGTCTTGCTCAGTCCTCGACCTCTGATGGGACCCAGACTCAGGGACCAGGGCCTCGGAATGGACAGGACTGCCAAAGCTGGCTGACGGCTTCAGCCTCCCCTCTGCGGCCAGGAGGCGCTTCCGGGCCTGGGCTTGCTGCCAGCGGCGCGGCAGGCAGGCCCAAACGGACAGGGGGAAGGGGGCCACAAAATTCAAGGTACGCCCTTTGAAGTGCTCTGTGCCCTCAAAGTCCAAGGAGATCTGGGCGAAGTGGATGGACCAGAGATCCTGGGAGGCCCTGGGCTTCTGGGGAGGGAGGCGAGAGTCCAGTTGGAAGGCATGGTGCAAGAAGAGCATGTGCAGGAGGCTGAAGCCCCCAGGGACCTTGGGGAAACGGACATGGCTGGAATGGAAGAACTCAGTAGCAGCAAAGGCCCGGAAGAGGCTCTGGAGGTCTGGACAGCTGCAATGCAGAGCATGGCGAGTGTTGGTGGCCGTCATGCCGGATGCAGACATGGCAAGAGTCTGGGGACGATGCAGCCCAGCCTGCTCTCTCTTCTCCAGAGGGAAGCTCACCTTGAGAGAGAAAAGGAAATGACATTCAGGCTGCTCACCTGAGTAGCTTACTAATGCACCATGCATGCGCACGTAGCACACCACTAGGCCTGTGGAGAGAGCAGAGCCCTGGGTGCTCTTCGCCAGGGAAGGAAACCCGCCCTCTCTCCCTACCTTCAACCGGAAGGCATCCAGTCTGATGTCCAGGTGCTCATCTGTCTGGGTTGAGTCTTCCAGCTTGTAGATAGCTTTGAACTGCTCCAAGCTGCGATACAGATCCAGGCAAAAGAAGTTTCCCCAGAGCAAGCTGACAGGATCCATCGTAAATGTCAGGCCGTTTAGCTGAATGTAGAGATTGGGACAGGGAACTGGAAAACGGAGGAAGACAGAAGCACTGTGTAGATAAAGCTGCAGCTACACACACCCTCATTTTCTCTTAAGTGGATCTTTAAAGGCACACAGCTACACGGGACAGAGTTTTTGATAAATGTGCGCTCAACGAACACAAACATCGAAAAATCCTCCCAACACAACGATGCAACGTGGGCCCGAGGCTGAGAAAGGCGGAGGGCGTGAGCTGGCGAGCGAGGCGTGAGCCGTCAGGGCTTACCTGGGAGCGCCTGGCTGTCTGGGAAGTAATACTCTGTGAACTCGATGTGAATGGCGGACACCTGAGTGGGCAGGTTGTGGAGCTTCCGACTGCAGGAGAGAAGTGTAGATGGTTTCTTACTGGGCTGTCCAGCTGTGGAGACCTAAGCAGAATCACAAGTTACTCAGCACCTGAGGAGAACTCCATTCTCTGCGAGGAACAGCTGAAAGCAGGCATCCTCAAACTACAGCCCGCGGGCCACATGTGGCCCACCGAGGACATTTATCCAGCCCGCCGGGTATTTTTGCCCGTTTGTTTTTTTACTTCAAAATAAGATATGTGCAGTGTGCATAGGAATTTGTTAATAGTTGTTTTTTTTTAACTATAGTCCAGCCCTCCAACAGGTTTGAGGGACAGTGAACTGGCCCCGTTTAAAAAGTCTGAGGACTGCTGGTTTAAAGGCTTCTTCCTAAGTCTGTCACAGGGACGCTTAGAGCTTTTCACACATATTCCAGGCCTCTCACACCTGCCTAACCCTCCCCACAAGATGCTTTCTGCAGTGGGAGGTTTGTAGTCGGGCACTCAAAGGAGTTCTGAAGTCCTGATCTCAGCCGACATGCTCAGGAGAAAATGAACCAAGTCATCAACCCCCTCAAAAGTATGTGTGTGTGTGGGGGGGGGGGGGGGGTGCTTCCGGATTCCACAGCTGTTCCAGTTGTCTTACACTCCACCCCTTTCCAATCACGTTCCCCCGAGTCCTGGGCCCCTCACCTGGTGGATGTCCAGGTCGTCCACCCGTACGACCAGGCAGCTGGAGCGTAACCGATTCCAGGCCGGGGGCCCAACGGCAACCTGTTGGCCCTGAGAGGGACTTTTCTCAAGGGGGCTCTTCCGAGGACTAGAGAGAGACTCTAAAGGAAAACAGGGAGGAAGGGAAAAGGCAATGAGGCACGTTCAACTTTATACTCAAGAGAATTGTCAACAGTACCACAGCCGGGTCCTCATTGCTGTATGTAGAAGACAGGGTCTAACACTGTCTAGCAACTGGATGGAGCTGAACACGACACTCTCCCGAAGCCCAGGGCACTGGCCTCCTGAAGAAAGACGGTGCCAGCTTCCCTGCACCATCTTGGCCAGAACCGTGTGAAGAGGAGCGAGCCGCTGATGTCTCTCCGCAGGATAAGGCTGGGATAATGCACTAGCCCAGCGTGAACGCCAAGAGGCTGGCAAGCACCGGGAGGGCTCCGGCTGCTAGTAACCCACCTGCCTTCCTCCGGAAGGGCGAGTCGCCCCCCAGGTGCCAGGGGGCTTTGAGCCCCATCTCCTCGTGCCTCTTTTCCATTTCACTCTGAAACTCCGTAACCAGGTTTTGGGCCCATTGGCCTCGGGTCTCCATGGCTGCACAGTACCTCAGCCAGTGTTTGCAGCTTTCACCTGTGAGCGGGGAGAAACCGAGAGAAACTTTTAACCCGAGAACATGATGCAACAGCCTTTTTTTAAAAGACCCTTGCTGTGCGTAGAGTCGAGTTTAGAATCTGATCCGTCACCCCTAATCCAGAATTCTTCGGGCTGAGAAAAGTGGCAGACTACGGGGTCCCACAGGTGACTTCCTGCATGGCTCCCTAACAGCCGCTGCTGCCGCCTCTGGTTGCAGACTACTGCAGAGTGGCACGAGTGGAAATGAGGGGCACAGCTGGACTCAACAGCAGCATCTCCCCTCTACTTCCCTCATCACCAGGGGGGTCAGCAAGATTCTAGAAGTTTCCCTCTTGAGAAACTGTATTTTCAGCTCTCTAAATACATGCTGCCACCCCGGCACCTTCCTCCTGAACAGCCTGGGGTAAACGCAGGACTTTTCCTCATTCCCTGAGGCCAAGCTGGGAGAGTGCTCATTCGGAATTCCCCTACCTGCCCAGTGGAAGGGGTAATAGTCAAACGCCATCCTGTGGAAGGTAAGCTGCATGGCACCACCCATCAGTCTGTTTGCAGAGACACCTATTAGAGAAAGACGTACGTGAGTAACCAACTGTGGGCGTTAACAAAGAAACCCAGCAGTCCTCCTGAGGGCCAGTCATCAAGGAAGACGAGTCACCAATGGGCACATCTGAAATCCCCGCCTGCAGTGGTGGAGGCCATGCCACGGCGAGACCGGGAGACAGAGCAAGATTATGAGACTGTGAGACAGAGCTACAGACAGGCTTCCTGGCCCATGGAAGCCGAGGCCACGGAGCCATGTGACAGAGAGATTTGGTTGCTGGCTAAAGGAAGGTGATGCTGTCGACTAATGCCTGTATCCTTCAAGTTTTCTGATCCTGGCTTGTGGTAGCCTGTTCACTTCCCCAATAAGTCCCCATCATTGTGAGTGTTATCTGACTTCTGCATGGCCACTGCGGCAGATTCCTGAATCAGCGGAGTAGAGTGCTGTGGGAGGCACTGTCTGTCAGCCTGGGCAAAGACGGGTGGAGGCAACCAGAGGAAGTGAGGTACTGTTTCCACACTGTTTACTCCCTGTGACCTTAGGTAACCGTTACCTACAGGGCCAAGTACCAAAAATCTAAACATATTGCAAAGATGGGGGATGAGTACAGTGAACCCTTGCCACTTCGCGCTTCGACTTCCGCGGCTTCACTCTATCGCGTGCGTAACAGCGCATGCTCTGTCATTACTGCCACCGGTTGGCTCATACTGTACACGCTTCTGTCTGCATCGCTACGTATCGGAGCTACGTATCAGATGCATTTTTGCTTCTGTACAGGGCACTGTAATTGTTTGCGATTTTTAAGAAATTTTATCTAAGCCCTATGATGGCTCCTAAACGAGCTGCTTCTTCTAAACCTTCTGACAATAAAAATAAGCACCAGAGGAAGATGCTCACCATCCAGGAAAAGCTAAAACTTTTGGATATGATCAAAGATGGTAAGAAAATCGTGGAGGTTGCACGCCATTTCGACTTGAATGAGTCTTCCGTTCGCTCCATCCATAAAGAGGAAAAAAACATCTGTGCTACAGCTACTTTCACTTTCAACAAAGAAGCAAAGCACAT